CATTCAGTGTCTATTTAATATAGCGTAATCTTGTTTTTGGATGGTAAAAAGTGCAGGGGATAAAAATTGACTTTAGAAAAAGTGGGTCCCCCCAAAACTACATCCATGTACTCTTGAATCCTTGTGTCAGTGCTTCTCCTCAGGAACATCCACACACAACGCTCACCTCTGCTGACTCAGTAATGAAGGAGATGGGTATATGCGACATGACCGTTCATACTGGAGTCACTTTCAAAAACATCAGATATGTATCAGAATTAGTACATATGTAAGTGGCATGGATTGCATTTGAACAAATCAGATCTGTGCTGTTCATACTGTCATAAATAATCTGATATGGGTCAAATGTAGGGGAAAAAATATCTGATTTGATGCGCTTTTGCCTGCAGTGTGAACCTGACTTGAGTTTTCAGACCCCTCAACCAACTCTAGTAGCAAATCTAGACACGCTACTACTTCTTCAACAAGTGGAAACAACTAACTTAACTACTAAAGACTACCAAACAATGCCTAAACTACCAACTGATTTTCATTTTCTCTACAATCTCAACCACTACTAACTCTCTGGTAGACGTGCAATCTAACACTAACTACAATCCACAAATTAGACACCTGAAATTAATCAGTCATATGATTTTTGTCAAACGAAGTTGGTTGTCACTTTTCATGTGCTTTTCTGCTAATTGAAATAAGCCTCGATTTGTTGCTTTATTTGTCCCATCACTAACAAAAGAATGCAAGCATAGGGCACCACCTACTGTCGTGGGGTTGCGTACACTTCTTTCAAAGCCTAGATTTTCTAATAGACATGTAAACTTGAATCAAGGCTGCCATTCTGGTTAAGGTATTAGCTTGATTAGTAGGGCTGTAGCGAAGCGTCGATGACGTCGACGGCTCGATTCTAAAAATTCGTCGATGTCAGATCTGGTAGTCGACGCACCACGCCCACTTGTTGCATCCCCAGAAGTTTGTAATTAGAGGAGGAATCTGCTTGTTTTCCTCTAGTTCGCCCTCTTCTCCGTCTTCACTAACATCTCCGCCAAATATCGAAGACCCGGAACAATGTCCGTCCGCTACTAGATTCCTTTCCTGTTTTGCCCACCTTCATCTCCCGGCAACGGACAACAACTTCCGGGGTTAGATGCGCTGCTTCGTCTCTACCGGAGATGTAGAAAATCACTGGGAGTGTTTCTCCCTTCATAAAGGAGCTTCTTTCAGACATTAGGAGAGCTGTTTTGGTGGTAGCAGTCTCTCCTCCGTGCTGGTCTGTTTGCTGCTGGGTATTTTTGGTGTATTTGAACTTGGTAACTTGAACTTAACGTTGGTAAAGCTACTGTTAGCATTTTCGCTAACAGCTTCTTGCATTTGGATAAGCTGTTACGTTTTGGTTTAGAGTTCATCTTTTTTGCGGTGTAGATCTACCTTTTATAACATTTAGAGTGTTGTGGGTTTTCAGTTTAGTTTAAAAATCACCTTGAGTTTGGTTTAACCACCCAGTTTAGAGTTTGGACCTTTGGAGATCCTTATTTTGGTCCAGAACCCTGTAATCTTTGCCCAGTGGGACATCCCTACTTATTTGTACTTTTGTTTTAATTCCCCACAGGTAGAATTAGTTTTATTATTCCCAACCTGTGGATGGAAAGATTTATGTTTTTTTGTAGTTGTAAATAAACCTGATCATCATTTTAACTTTTAAATCCCACGTTATTGTCCCTTCCTTTTTGCACACGAGCCCAACTCCCCAGGAAGGGTCATAACACCACTCGCCTCACGCACATAAGTGACCAAAACAAAGCAGCATGGAGACACTCCATCTCCAACCACCTCTCAGGCAGCAGCCTGCACTCCCAAGTTATACACGTCACCAGAACATAACCAACCACAACACAATAAAAGCAGTGTTATACAAAATGGAAGGCCTGTAGTGTTTATTCTCTGACAGTACCAATTAATCTATTTTTTTGAGGAATTTATTAGAGATTTTTTGGTTTTTATTAACTGTGCAATAGAAAAATAATCATTAGATTAATTGTCTAAATAGTCATTAGAATAGTCGACTATTTGATAAAATAATCGTCAGAATAATCGTTTTAAAATTAATCGTTTACCCCCAGCCCTATCGATTAGACCCATAGCTCGGTTTTAGATTAGCAGTTAGATGCTGATGTTGATCTTATAGTAATAAGTTGGGAGTCTTTATCCTTGTTTACATGTACATTAGAAAACCGACCTCTCAAATAAAGTTCATTCCACTCAGGTACAGTAGGTGGCGACATGCGCCCTTTCATGTCGGCCTTCTTCCAGTTAGCTTATAGCAACACAGACAGTGAGCAAACGCTGGAGGGAGTGAAGCAGACTGAGCTGAAATATTATATGCACAATGAGCTCATTTAGTACGTGATGTTTGCATTATTTGGTTTTTTATTACCCCAGAAAGGGTTGTTTTACCTTTTTTGCTGACAGTTTCGACCACTCCAGCAGTCTTATTTAGAGCTAGCAGCTAATGGTGATGTCACTTCCTTCTCCGTTTATCAGCGGGCAGCAAAGGACGGTGTCACCCTCTGCTGCCCACACTCTTCTCGATGGGACTTTGTAATCATCGAGGAGAGCATGGGCACCGCGGCCCCCAGCTTGGCTGACCCGTTTACATGTATAATATATTCAGATTGCTACCACATTATCTGGGTGCTTGAACTGGATTACAACCAGTTCACCTTCAGCCAGACTAACGCGTTTACGTACATAAAAAAAAATAAAATAAAAAAAAGACGTGAATCTTTTTAGGGCAAAATCTGTTTTCTGATGCGCATGTACATGCACTGAGTCACTGAGCAGCAAAGATCTTTTTCTAAATTAATCATTTATAATAAAATATTCCCTTCATCTGGAATATTGGTTTATTTACATTATATAAATGAAAATAACAACAAAAAAAATCCAGTTTTTAACCAAGTCAAGCAACGTGTAGCATCACCAAAAGATAAATTGGACTGAGCAGGACAAAAACATTTAGATGTTCCCACAAACCTTTTAGCAGACTTTTTAGCTTAAAGTTATATGAGAGCTTGAATTTGTGTAGAGGCTTAACAAGCTGATGCATTCATGTCCCATTCCATCAGAGCATCAACTGCTCTATGAGTCCATTAGCCCTGTCCCTCCATGAACCAACATGAATCCGTTCATCTTTTCATTCCCACTAAATGTCGTGATGTTTGGCAGATAGCAGTCTGCTCTAAAGTATCTCGTAAAATGTCTGCACATCACTGCCTCATTCCATCTGTTGCATTCTGCGTAAAAATATGTTTATCAATCTAAATCTACCAGACAGAGAAAAGACGTCTGAAAAGGGCATTCGACTGGAAAAACATTGTTCTCCATTTATTTGCATCATGACTTGTTTTGTCCCCTCCAATAAAAGTAAGTCTAAAATTAAACTTCAAAGTCTCCAACTCCAAAGTCAGATGTTCAAAGAGAAAGAGAGCCATCAATAGATGTACCCCGTGGGCCACATGTAATATTACTTATAAATGTTACTTGCAACATACAACATTTCTTGGGAATGCAGGTCTTTGCTCTAACCTATAAATGAATGATTCTTCCATTAAAATTTCTCACAAGCTGTTCCCTTCTGCTTGAGATGCATCACAAGTGATAAGCATAAACAGCATCTTCCCCAGACCACCTGAAAAGCTTGACTCAAGTGCATCAAAGCACTTGAAAAGAAATTAAATTGTTGAGCGGATGGCGTCTGACAGCTCATCGATAGAAAAGGTTCTGGTTGAGGGACTGAAGACAGGCAAAACACTAGCAGAAAGCCATACGATTTTTCAAATGACAAGAACGGTATCACTGGAGTCCCCGACAGATGGAGAAGAAAACAAACCTGCCTGCTACATTTCCTGTTTGCTAAGCACCACCTGGAGGTAATGAACACGGAGACAGTCTAAGAGGCATGACAGACAAGGAGGAGAGTCAAATGGTCCCTCCAGAGAGCAAGTTTGCTACGTTTCCTTGATTTGGGTCATCGTGGTCGGCACATATGTCCATGAATATTTAGACATGTGGGTGAACTGCTAACGACCTAAATAGGAAATTATTAAAAGTAAACTTCAATGAAAAACCATTTACTATTTCGAAGTATAATCTGAGTTTAACATGCTGAGTATTAAAATAGTCTTCTACCCATATCTCCTGCATTAGCTTTATAGATGGTAAAATGCTAGGATGTGAAAAGTCCAACAGATCTACGTCACACTTAACATTCATGGACTCCCATCTTGACTCACGACGGGGAACGCTGTTGTTGATTTAGCATCCTGGAGACATCAGAGAACGTCTCAACTAGCAATTTAGTTCAGTTAAGCTTATTTAAATAGTGCCAACTCACGACAAGAGTCATCTCACGGTACTTCACAAAGTAAACATTCCAATTCATTCTGCCAAAGAGTTAGGTTTCCTACAAAAATAATCTAGCAGATTACATAGAGTAACTGACTACTGCAATTCCCATAGTAATCCTCATAGTACATGCTAGCTGTTAGCATTAGCAACTCCACCACACAGCAGAACTCCTTCAGGCTTGTGTTATTTGTGGAGATAACACATCAACATTGCAAAGAGCTGCTGTTAGCCAGTCAGAAGCGAGATGTCCAAATCAGGTTATATTCTGTCACTTTCTCCTCCAGCTGACTTCTAAGTCCTCCAACAGGCGCACTGGAGCATTTTTTCCCCCAGAGTACAACTTATAAGGCATGCATTCCTACGAAATACTGCTGCAAATGTATTAAAACTATCAGTAAAGTTAAATCATAGTAAAAAAGAACTTGTGTTCAGGAAGCCGTGGGCTTATGGGTCTGCTGGAGGCAAGTTTGTATCAGTCATACGGTGCAGACTGTGAAGTATATTGTCATGATAATATGAGTATTTGGGGGTCAGTAAAGGTCAGTATTCTTCTACTTTATTTACAGAAGCCTAAAGTTTTGTGTGAAAAGATGACTCACCACACATCCGGTTGAATCAAGCTTTCGGTCAGATATGCAGCGGAAGTTCCGGCTGCAGCCTCCGTTATCCTTGCTGCAGTCTCGGACCGGTCCAAAAGAGTCCAGCAGAACCTCCAACGAGTCAAAGGATGAGCTGATCATGAGCTCTTCTCTGTAGAGAGAATAAAGTGTAAATAAAGGACATTTATGTTGGTGACCCTTGGGTCACTGCCATGTTGTATAATAGCAAACGTTGACATATGATTGTTTACTTCATGTCTTACTGGTATTGATGCCCATTGCTCTTAATAGGTTATAGCTCACTTTTAATCAACATACCTATGTTTACAATGAGCTTTTAAAGCCAGTTTTTTAAAATAATATAATTTAAGAAATGTTATTCTTTTTTTAATCTAGTTTTGATATTGTTGTTGAAATGTAAACAAACAGAAAAATAAACCAAAGTATAATTAAGTAAATGAATTAAAAAGGTCTTAGTTTTGATTTGAAAATTATTCCAGATATAACAATTTACTATCCCCCCCTCCTTATTTTGTATTTTTGATGAATTATTTTAATGACTTTTACATTAACATTTTACCCTATATAATCAGGCTATTTCACTGCACCTCAACTTCATTTTCAAAGCTGGGAACAACACAAACAAACAAACGATAGTAGTAATTGACTTATGTTCTTTTATTCCTCAGAGTTTGTCCCCCATAAACACTGTTGTCATTATTCAAACAGAATCCCAGTCTGAGATTAAACCTCTTCATCTGATTTAAACTAATCCAGACCGTGCTTAAAACATGAGCCCTAATTTACTAAACATTATATATATATATATATATATATATTTTATAAATATACATATTCTCCCAACACAATTTAAGCCAGTTTAGTACACTGAGTTTCCCATTAACACAACTGCCTGTTAGCGGTGATTCACACATTTTCTGCTATAGGTGTCAAATTAACAGGTTTCAAATTGAGCTGCAGAAATACAGTTAAACAGATGATTAATTAGCATTTAGCAGTCAGAAATATGTAATTTATTCTCATTACATTTTGTGAAATCCCATTAATTTATATGATTTTATATTGAGTCTGGGGATGAGAGTGAATGAGGTTCTGTTTTAGAACACTTTAATGTTAGATTTTCATAAAACATCACCATTTTCCTTTTAATTAATTTTGTGTAATCATCATGGGGAAAGCATTCACTTTTAACAATGAAACTGCTTTGCAAGCAGATGTGTGAGATAAAAACAAACTCATAACAGATTTATGGCTTTAACCTTGCTGTGAGTGGTCCAATAGCATTGTTACTGATGCCGGCTTCTGTGAGCTGGACCCGACCCAAACACCAGCAAGCCAGACGAGCTGGTGTTTTTAAAAGCCGCGCATGATCCTGTCCTGGAGGTTTGTGGTGGTTCTGATCCAGTTCTGACCCAGAAACCAGATGGCCTGCTGAGCCGCGGATGTCTTCAGGTGGTCAGTTCTTCTGAGCTGGTTCTGATGGTGATCTGAGTTCCAGAAATCCACATTTAATTTTTTAACCCCGCCACGGGTCACCGGAGCCCAGCGCGGACCTCCCTGTCCTGGTACTGACCAATGTGGGCTACAGAAGTCCGTCTTTTCAGCTGCAGAAACGCACTCAGGCACGGAGATAGAGGCGTTGTTTCTCTTATCTGGAAACCCGTGGACTCGTCCAGACAGGCTGGAGTTGGTACAGCCTTCACAAACTAGTTTATCAATGTTACGGCCGCAGCCGTTTTGAAGCCCAGAGGTGTGCTCCGCGCCGTTCCCTGTGCAGCAGCGCAGCACCACGGACAGCTACGCTCTGGGATGTTGTCCTTACTCCAGCACCATGGAGAGCGCCGGAGCGGCAGGCACAAGCAGCTGGGACTTTTTATCTCATCAGCCGGCCCTTCAAAAGCGGCCAGCTGGAGCTCATCAGGGGAGAGAAATGTTTGGAGTTGCAGAGGCAACGTTTGTTCTCTCCCCGTTGGCAGTTAACAGGTTGTTGTTGGCTTTTTGTAAAGAAGCAGCTTTAGAACCTTTTGTGTTTTGGGATAGTTGCATTTAAGCGGTAATTTTGGTTTTGGTGTGTCTGCTAGACCATCTTGTGGTTTAAATTACCAGGTGGGGATTATTCCCCTTTTGAAGTCTCAGTTTCCTGAGCTATTTTTGTTGTTTGGGTAACCTAAGTTAATTCAGCATTTGGTTTTGTCTGTTAGACAAACCTTGGTTAATTTAAGGGTGGGATTTTCCCCTTTTGCGTTTCATTCCCTTTTTAAATAAAGGAGATTAATTTTAAGAGTGGTTGGTCCTCTGGACATTTTCAGTTATTCGTTTAAACTTAGTTTGGTAAGGGTTTTTGGCCCTTCTTTTGGTACTTTCTTTTTGTAATAAAATCCTTAAAAGGAAACTTTGAGTTTGGTCTTGCTTGGACAAGAGGTGCCTTTTTCTCCCCAACGAGGGTCACTTTTTGTTAGACTGGTCCATCTTATGTTTATTCCCCTCACCTTCCTAGCTGAGCCCATAGAGGGGTGTAACAATCAACATGAAGACAATCCAACACTAGTAGGATGAGATTCGTCCTGGGTATCTCAAGGCTATGGATGTTGTAGGGCTGCGGTGGTTGACACGTCTCTGCAACATTGCGTGGTCATCGGGGGCAGTTCCTGTTCAGTGGCAGACCGGGGTGGTGGTCCCCATCTTTAAGAAGGGTGACCTGAGGGTGTGTTCCAACTATAGGGGGATCACACTCCTCAGCCTCCCTGGAAAGGTCTACTCCAAGGTACTGGAAAGGAGGGTCCGATCGATAGTTGAATCTCAGATTGAGGAGGGGCAATGTAGTTTACATCCTGGCCGTGGAACTGTGGACCAGCTCTCCCTTGCAAGGGTGATGAAGGGGGCATAGGAGTTTGCCCAACCAATCTACATGTGTTTTGTGGATTTGGAGAAGGCTTATGACCGTGGCCCCAGGGGCACCCTGTAGGGGACGCTCCAGGAGTATGGGGTGGGTGGCTTTCTGTTAAGGGCCATTCAGTCCCTTTACCAGAGGAGTGTGGGTTTGGTCCGCATAGCTGGTAGTAAGTCGGACCTGTTGCCGGTGAGGGTTGGACTCCTCCAGGGCTGCCCTTTGCCACCGGTTCTGTTCATTACCTTTATGGACAAAATTTCTAGGCGCAGCCGTGGTGTGGGGTGTGTTGAGTTTGGTGGCAGGAGAATCTCGTCTCTGCTTTTTGCGGATGATGTGGCCCTCCTAGCTTCATCCAGCTCTGACCTTCAGCTCTTGCTGGGTAGGTTCGCGGCCGAGTGTGAAGCGGCTGGGATGAGGATCAGCACCTCCAAATCTGAGACCATAGTTCTCGACCGGAAAAGGGGGGCTTGCCAACTCCGGGTCGGGAGAGAGGTCCTACCTCAAGTGAAGGAGTTTAAGTATCTCGGGGTCTTGTTCACGAGTGAGGGCAGGAGGGATCGGGAGATCCACAGGTGGATCGGTTCAGCGTCTGCAGTGATGCGGACGCTGAGCCGATCTGTCGTGGTGAAGAGGGAGCTGAGCCAGAAAGTCAGGCTCTCGATTTACCGGTCGATCTACGTCCCAATCCTCACCTATGGCCATGAGCTTTGGGTAATGACCGAAAGAACGAGATCGCGGATACAAGTGGCCAAAATGAGTTTCCTCCGTAGGGTGGCCGGGCTCAGCCTTAGAGACAGGGTGAGGAGCTCGGACATTTGGGAGGGACTCGGAGTAGAACCGCTGATCCTCCGTATCGAAAGGAGCCAGTTGAGGTGGTTTGGGTATCTGGTCAGGATGCCTCCTGGACGCCTCCCTGGGGAGGTGTTTCGGACATGTCCTACCGGTAGGAGGCCCCCGGGTCAACCCAGGACACGTTGGAGAGGTTACATCTCCAATCTGGTCCGGGAACGCATCTCCAATCTGGTCCGGGAACGCCTTGGGGTCCTGCCAGAGGAGCTGGTGGAGGTGGCCGGGGAGAGGACGGTCTGGAGCTCCCTAGTTGGGATGCTGCCCCCGCGACCCGGACCCGGATAAGCAGAGGAAGACGACGATATAAAATCTAGCTTCATAAAATAAAAAATAGAAAAAGTACTTGTGGCTCAGGACTTTTACTCAATGGCGTTTTTATTGATCAACAAGACCAGTAGTTAGCATTTCTTACCTCATCAGCCAGCAATTATTGGAAAACAAAATTGATTAAAGGCTCAATTAAATTCTAAATTAACCTCAATTCTCTAACATTTAAAAGGTTACTGGTTTTTAATGCACTCTAGTAATTGTTTATTTTATACATTTAAAAAGTAAAACCATTAATTAATTATTATATTCTGTATTCTGCAGTTTACTTGCTACTGTTGCTCCTACCTTTGGTTGGTTTATAGTGTGATATTTTAACAAGTGAAGGTAAGCATTTAGTTTTTTCTTCTCTTGGAACACACTGAAAAAAGGTAACTTGAAAATTTCAAAGGTGTTCAATTGAAAACAACTGGACTTCTTTGGTTTATTTAACATTTCACTTGTCATCTAAGGAACTTTGTCAATTCTGACTGGAAAATGGAGAGATAGAGGCTTTGAGAGAGGGCTAAAGGAATAATCGACTGTATGTCAAACGGGAAAGACCAACATTAAACAGAGGAGGAGGCCTCAGGTTTCACCTTTCCAGCACCTACAATGCAGCTTTAAATCTAATTCTTAAACAGTTTCAGTCACGATCAAACCTAGCATCTAATTAAAACAACCATTTCAACACAATAAGTCTTAACGACTTCAATGACTTCCAATGGGTTAAGGAAGAGGAGTATTTATAGACAGCTACAGTTTTTAAGCTTGACCATCCTTCATATCAGTCAGAACTAACAAAGCTCCCCTGATGAGAAGTGAAACGTCTTCAACAAACCAAAGAATCCCGTTTCCTTCATTCAAACCTTTTGAATTACTGTGACCTGGATGACTGAGAACCTTCACCAGCATCATTTGAAAATGGTTAGGTGAAACTTTTAGGAAAAAACGATAACCAGCAAAGCAGATTTTCCTAAATCGGTTCACCAGCTAATGGAGAGAAAAAAGTCAGCGACAAATGACAATCAAACATAAGGGGACGCTGCTCAAAAGCAGCCCCTTTCAAAACGCTGTTAATGCTG